ATAATGTAATGAATATATGAAATTGAAATATAAGAAAATCTGAATTAGAATTAAATAATTTGAAATTGGATAAAAAAATTAAATTTGAATTTTGATTAATGCAAGTAATCTTTAATCAAAATCCACATCTTTTCGAAAGTAGTTCAAATCAAGTTTTACGTTGTAAAATAAATGTAATAAATATATTAAAATATAAAAAAATAGAACTAATATAGAAACTTATGAATTTGAAATGAAAGACAACAAATTTTGAATTGAAAAAACTTTTTTCCTGAATTAAAAGTATATCACTTTTAAATTTTGCCTATAATTCAGGGATCTAATAAGGATAGTCATAAAAATAATTAAATAGATAGAGAGAATTTAAAAATTAAATTAAAACTCAATACTTATATATTAAAAATAAAGGGGAATTAAAATTTAAGTTTGAAATAACAACATATGCATTACGATATATGTGTTTTGATTTGTTTATTATTTTGTTATTTATAATAATAATAATAATAATAATAATAATAATAATAATAATAATAATCTTAATATTCTCTCTTTATTATTTTGTTAGACCAAATACACTCAAATCTTATCTAATCCTTTGAATTGAAAAACTAAACAAATCAAAATCCAAAATTTTCAATTGGAAAAGAAAACTTCAAGGACGAAAAAAATCTTAAGATTTAGGCGAATTATATAGTATGAGCATATGCACATTTTTTGTCTACTATTAGATTAAACACTAGATGAAATAGTTATGTAAAATTTCATAGTAAAATGAATGTAATAAATATATTATATTGAAAGTTAAGAAAATCTGAATTAAAATCAAATAATTTGAATTTTGATATAAAATTGAATTCGAATTAGTAAAAGATAAAAAGTAGAATCAATATAGAAAATTCTGAATTTGAAGTGAAATATAAATATTTTAATTGAGGGAAAAAATTGAAGATAAAAGTATATCACTTTTGAATTTTTCCTCTAAATTTTTATATCTATGTTATATTAAAAGAATGGTAGTGAAACATGAGTTTAAGCCAAGTGGCATATTGAAAAATTGCCACTTGAAACTTTTAAAATATAATCTAAGTAGATTTAGAAAATCTAATCAGGATTAAGACAAATTAGATTTGATCAAATTTAATTTACGATGAAAATCAATTAAGATTAACTCACAATTTTATACTAAATAGATTTTGAAAGCTTTCCAATAATAAGGATTTCTATTTAATTGTTATTCACTATCAACATGATAAGTTTTCTTTTATTTCATAATTTTTTTATTTTTGAAAATATTACATAAAGAAATAAAATGACAATGAAAATATTACTAAAACATTTAGATATAATGTGTTCAAATAATTAAGAAAATATTTTTCTATGATTAATCTCTGAATTGAGTGCAGTTAGTTTAAGTTTGAAAGCATACCATAATTTTTGAAAATGCAGTCCAATTTAGAAAATATAATGATAAGAATTATTTTGAATTTGATATGAGATTTTTTTTAAATATGATAAGAAAAATCATATTTTGAATTATGAACAATAAAGTCAAAGTTACTATCGAAATATTTTTTAATTTTTATATATTATATTATTATGAGTGTGGTCGAAATAGATATTAAATTCAAATAAGCTAATGAAAAGCCACATGACAATGCAATTATATTACGTATTGAATAATATAAAAATAAGGAATAAATAGATAAATAAAATAAAATAAAAATAATTTTTTTATCTTAGAGTAAAACGGGTAAAACTTATTTAAATTTAAGATGAAAAAGTTTTTTATATTATGATAAGAAAGGCCATAATTTGGATAAGTACACATAACTCAAGTATAATAGATAAAATCAAAAAATAAAAATATTGAATAATAAAAATAAATTAGAGATAATGTGAGAATATTTATAAAACATAAGTTTAGAAATTAAAATAAAGTAAATATATAGTACTTTAAAATATTATTAACAAATTTAATTAATATAAAAATTTCGAGCTACATTTTTATTTATTTATCTTAAGATTAAAGAAATTATATATTTATCTATATTATATTAAAGTATAATAGTGGATAATGATATTAAATGAAGTTACAATTAAGTTACTGAAAAGCCATATAAAACATAATAAGACGATATATTAGATTAAAAAAATAGCAAAATCAAAGACAATAGTTAAAAATTTGCTATTAGAAATGAAAGAGAAGGACTATTTGAAATTGATCAGAAAGTACTTAAAATTATGATGAGAATGCTCGAACTATGGATAATTTCACGAAATTGAAGTCTTATTTAAGAAAAATAAAATTGATAATAAATAAAAATTTAAAAATACAAAATAAATTTCTAATGTAGGTAATTTACTTATGAAAATTAAAACTTAAATGTTTATCTTAAAACTAAAAAAATAAAGAAAATTTAACTTCATGAATACAAAAATAATTATAAGCAAACTTGAACATAATAATCAAAGAACTTATGCATTAATATTTTAGACTAATTCAACATTACAATGTGCTCAAACAAGACAGATCACAATATGACATGCTTAGTATTCTTTAATACCGATAGCGAAACGAAAAGCAAGTACTAAAATCAAGGGATTAGGTTGTTACAAATATAAAAAAAGAAAAAAAGGGTTGTCCACTACGAAATTTGAGTAATAATTTCATGTTCTGATTTTTAATTTATATCTAATGATTAATAATTTTTATCTAGAAGGTTTAGATTATAAAGTTATTTGCAAATGATTCAAACAATCTACATCACAATTTGACATGGTTTATATCCGTACATCGCGCGAGTACTAATACTAGTGTATGCATAATAATTGGATTATCAAAAATTAAAAAGGAGACACGTTTACTAACTACCATTTGGCCCATAAATTGAGGAAATCAAAATACTTACTAAACAAAATGGAAAGTAAATCCTGTCTAGGAAGGTGAGCTCTGTAGAATAATTGTTTTTTTATTTGGGATCAAGGGATAACTACTACTATATATTAATTTAAACTAGAGTAGTACTTGGAGCATTTGAAAGCATAGAAACTAACCTAAAGGGGCAACCCAGTGATGGGTCGTTACAAAAGGGGATCTAAGGGAATTACTATTAATATTCATATTTCTTGAAATACAAAAGGTTGGCTAAGAGGATTTTGTGAACAGGTTGTGTGCTGAAGAGCTTGTGGTTTAACCCTTCTGGCAAAAAGTGTGCCTGAGCGATCATTCTTCAAAGCTGGTTGTAGAAAAAGCAAGCTAAGATTGTACAAAAACAGTGATGCCAGTAGTATTATTCATATGGCAACCATATTTTGCTAGTAAATAAGCTACTTTGTTTTGATCCCTGTATGTGTAACGTATGATAGGATCATCTAGCTGCTCGAGCAAAAACCTGCAATCATGTATAAGATTAGCATAAAGCGGATGCGAGGTCTGTAATATATTAATTATTATTTGAGCGCCTAGGTTCACTTCGGGAGGCTTGCATCCATGGTTATAAGCCAATTGCAAACCATCATATAGCACACGTAATTCAATTTCAACACTCCCGTGAGAGATAGTGATGTCCCGAAAAGCCGATGAGCTAGTTACCTGTGGAGTCACGTATGACACCACTAATCCCGCCCCGTCTTGTAGCTAAGTGGGCTGAACCATCAATGTTGAGTTTGAAAGGAGTATTGCCAGGCGGGTGCTATTGAATTTGTAGGGTTATACCGCTATGTGAGGACGGTGGTAAAACATCAAGATGGAATAATTGTATTATCAAGACAGTGCATCAAATCAAAAAGAAAAAAGAGTGGAATACGTTTATCTTTTTTGTTTTAATCATTCAGTATTTTTGGTATGCTTTGGTCCAATTAATTCGAATTTACGTTGCATATAATTTATTAAATGAAAATCTGCTACTTTCAAGAATTATTTCCACAGGCGTCTTAACCCCAAGCCAATAAAGTGGCCTCTTTAGGCCTCCAAAATTGAGACCCCAAAAGCTACTCTTTTTATATGTAATTTAAATATTTATTGTATTTATTATGTGATCTTTTTTTGTAGTTGGTTGAGAAAATTGTAATAAAAGTGAAAGACAATGAAATTTGCATTTACTTTTTAGTTCATCTCACTCCAACTTGAACAAAATTTATTTACAACTCTAACTTTGTAAGATATTTTTTTTTCAAGGTCTGTAGGTACGTTTCAAGCTAATTATATTGTTAAAAATTATAGTTGATTTGTTTATTATCTTTATAAATACAAATTCTCACATGATTATTACTTTGGGAGGCAATGATATATAGTAAATTATGTTGACGGTCATGTAAAAAAAATTAAACTTAAACTTAATAAAATCTTATCAAAAGTTAGTAATGTTTCAACAAAGATTAAATGGGTTTACATCATCAAAATTAAATTGCATCCCAAAAAATAAAAAGAATAAACTTTAAGCAAAAGTTTAAAACCTCTTATTACAGTTTGTCTTTAGGCCTCCAACATCGTTGAGCTGCCTTTGATAAATTATTCCCGGCATAAAACTTATTTACTTATTTTTAACTTTTCAACACATCGCGTGCATTTAGAGCGGTAGATATACATCAAAATTTACGTTCACTATTAGGTTTGCCATATATTTTAAATGTGTGATTGATCTTTTGGACAATTTCATGATATATTTACTAGTTTCTCAATAATTTGGTGAACATTATGCATCCTATACAATTCTTGTACTGTTATTCAAACCACTTATTCAAATTCTATCTTTCATTTCAAAAAAGAGAAAAAAGAAAAGAACAAAGAAAATGAGAAGGTAGTAAAAATA